TCATAGTGAATTGAAACATAATACATTGAATTCACCAATTATATAAATCATAAATATTTCAGATATGTCAGGAACATATGTCAATACAATCCAGATAGGAATTTACTATGCCAGGGCATATAAATCCCAACACATTATACGTATAAATTAAGTTAGCCGGCCATTTACAATTTTTTTTATTTATTAAAAACACCGTGCTTTATTTTATAATAGTACTTATATATAGTTCATCAACTTTACTAAAAGATAATTGCAAAACTAAGTTATGGTGTTGGAAAGTTTTCCAAATGTGTTCCAATCGTGTTCACGTGACTTAGTCGTGTTCATATCATGTCTCAGTTGTGTTCAACTAGAAAGAAAAAATATTCAGATTTTAGATACTTAGTTGTGCTTAACACAAGTTCGACAATGTCCTAAGCATGTCTTTGTTAGACACGTGTGGCCATGACAAAGACACGTGTGGCCATGACACTCCTAGAGGAGTGTTCGTGCTTCCAAGACTAAAGCTCAATTCTACAACTTCTAACATTGTGATAGTTAAGAGGTTAAATAATTTTTGGTAACTTTTTTCCGTAGGCAAGTTTATTCCTTTTATTATTCAAAAAAGTTTATTCCTTTTATTTTTCAAAAAGACACAAACAAACAAATAAATAAATAAATGCTTGCCTGTATATCTTTCGTTCAGTATCACGTTTCAGCTAAACCAATCAAAGCTTTGAAATTTTTAGGTACTACACTCCTCTTCATTCTATATATAGGATTTATTTGATCTTTCTATTTAATTCCCTTTATATATATATATATATATATATATATATATCATTTAGTACATTCTACTATTGTGTTTTTAACCCTAGTACATTCCATCACGAAACACCAAATGATATTGCCCGTTATTTTATGACTTAAAAAAATAAATAAATAAAAAACCACCAAATGATATTGCCCATTATTTTGTGACTAAAAAATTAAACATCTATGATTAATTATTAAATCCATTAAAGTCAAATATATATATTAGAAAAACAGTTATCCTATGATGGGTTGTTGTACTTGGGTCTTCTATGGCTGATTTGTATTGGTGGTTAGCATAGCTAACTATAGGTTGCTTTTGTTTTTGTTTATATTTATAAAAATTGGAATTTTACTTTTCAAAAAAAAAAAAAAAATGTTTGATGTGTAGAATATAATAATGATTCAAACTCCTAACTTTATGTGAGAGTTTTGTTATATATAGTATGCTTTTGGAATTGTTTTTCCCTAAAATTTATTCATGCAATTTTTTTTACAAATGATAAGTAGTAAATCTATCAAAAAAAATTGATCAATCCCTTTTACCATCTTTATAGTGAAGAAGAGACAACAAACACATGTCCAATATTTTGCTTTTTATTAATAATTACTCGTATATAATTATTCATTTTTTTGGGATCTCAACAACGGATGATACAAGAGTAGGTATTCAACGGTCTGTGCCAGAGCAAAAGTATAAACCCTAGGAATCAAACCCATGCAAGTATGCAACCAACAGTAGAACACGTTTAATCAGGATACAAGACTATATATATATATACATACTTAAAATATTAAATAAAAAATTGTGACATACACAAAGTGTCTAATTATTCACCAACTACTTTCTTTATATGTTTAAATACAGTATTTTCTATTTTTTAATCTTTAAAAGACGATGATGATAGCCTGATATAGACTAATTAATGATCAAAACTTTACAGCTGTGATAAGGTTTACTAATTAAGTCATGCATGCAGGTCTAATTGCCACTATATTTCATGTTCTCACTATATATTCAGTGTCTCTATTGTCGACCTATATATAATAATAATAATAATAATAATAATAATAATCACCAAGATCGCTGCTCATTAAAATCGAATTAACTAACAGTATTAAAGATGGTATCCACGAGTTTTGTACTTCACCAAAACAGCAGCTACACTTTTAAAAATCAGCATTTGGCAAGTTTGGTTTGGCTTTTTCGGTCGGGAATAAAATTTTGCTGTGTCCAAATAATGAACTCTCGGTACCGAAAAATGTGTCAGTTTTGTCCTTTGAGTCTTACATGTCCAATGATCAATTAAGATCAATTAAGAGTAATGCTATTTAGGCTTATTTGTGTTTCATACCATTTATATTCACCTCTTGTAGTGGATATATATAAGTTTAAGTGTATCCTATCTACTACATTAAAGAAATAAAAATTCTTTGTTAAACAAATAGGTTAGAAAAATCAGCCAAAAAATTATTTTCCTTCGTATAAATTTTGTCAATTTGTTTTACATCAGTTTTAAAGATGAAGAATGATTGGACAACATCTTTTGTATCAAGCTTATAAATCATCCAGTTGGGTTGCTTAAGTTAGGACGGTTCAAACTTAGTTCATTCATTCGTGTGCTCAGCTTGGATTCTACTTGGACTTGTGGGCAATTTTAGAGAATTGAGCTCGAGTTAAGGTTAAAAAGTTTGTGAATAGGCTCGACTTGAGGTCGTGAAACAAACCATACAAGCCACAAAAACTTACTTGCTTAATGAACAAATGTGAGTGTAATTCGTGTTTTGACTTAGTTGAGCACAAATCATTTGCAACTTTACCACTCCATCCGTCACAATTTAAGTGTATAAGGAATAGTAATTTTTAAGGAGGCATGTAAGATATGAATTGTCTCCCTAAAAAGTTACTAAATTATCCTTCTAAATTTTAGATATTTAAGTTTAAAATTTTAAACTCAAATAATATATATTGAAAGATGTTAAATATATAATAAATATATTGTTTAAAAAAGGAAAGTGGACAATTATTTTGATACACACTAAAAATGAGAGTATGACTTTTATTTATTTATTTATTTATTTTTTTGGGGTACAAAGAAATTATTTATAATACTAGTAAATCATTTACTTTTTATGGTAAAATCATTATAAATCAATCATAGGGTAGTTATTAAAACTTTTTCCGTTTATTTCACTGCGACTCTTATTAATTAGCAGCTTTAAGCTTGTGCTTTATTTAATCAATTGAGTTGCTTTTGGGAATTAATTAGTGATTCCAAGGACTGCCACTGTCTGAATCATTATTGCGAAATATCTTAACATAAATTAAAAAAGCTTATTGTAAACTAGGCCCAAATGTGGGGTATTTATAAGCGTCAAACCTGATTGGGCTAAGGCTGGACAGGCCCAAACTGATCAAGGCTAAAAACCATGAAGGTTTTACAAAAGAAGAGATTGGAAGGTATAGAATTGAGCCCAAACTAAACAAAGGTAGGCCCATCTCCTTAATCTCTTACCTTTGCTTCTCAATCTGTATCCAAATACCACATCCCTCTCTCTTAGAACCATTTTGATCGGCTTCAAAGATAGATTTTCCTACTCATGAAAGATGAGGGAAGATTCCACCGTTGACGAGCTCTTCTCATCGCCGGGAAGGATGACGCATTTAGTAATCTATAATTTAATGAATGAGAAATTGTTGTGAATTCGAGAATTCATAAATGAAATTTTAAGATTGATAAAATTGAATTCGAAAATTGAAAAATGATTTGCGCGTGGAGTGTGAGAACAACACTCCAGTGCCAGGTGTGATTCGCGATTCTACTCAAAAGCTTAAGTTATTAAGTGATACTAACACTAACCTTCTATGTCCTAGACCTTCTCCATCTGGATCTGATGTCGGACAAGAATTCATGACATTCTTCCCCACCTAAAATTGTAACGCCCTTGTTGAGGTTGGTCCAACCAGCCTACTTGTCCATTGCAACAACGGGACCTAGTAATGACCTGAACAATTTCGTGTAGGCGCTTAGCGTGACATGGATCAACGAATGGGTCCGCTTTAATATCATTTGATACGAGTCAAATATTTTATAATCTGACCTAAAAGTTCAAGCTATTAGGTGATGCAAAAACATCCAACCTTATATGCCTAAGACTCGTTCCATCCACATCCGACTTGAGACCATAATTAATAACACAGCTCACAATTCTAAAGAGTAAATTGTATTAATGAATAAAAGTGAATGGTTGTAAGAAAACAAACATGGGAATTGTCATTGCCGTGATTATCAAATGATTATCATAATTGAGTTCTCTTTGAAGTCACAACGAGTATTTTAATGTAAAGATTGAATTTTTGAATAAAAATACCTTAATTAAGAGAACTTTCGTGCAGTGTTCTTAGTTGCTTTTCCTTCGGAACATTTTGCATCCATCCTATGCCACTCCATCATAGTGCGCAAGCAAAATTCTTGTAGAAGGTTGATTTGTCTAAATATTTAATGTTAGAATGACATTTATGAAAATAAATCATCAATGATCCACTTTTGAAATTAATATATATATATAGGCAAGAAGTATTAGAAATTAGATTAGTAAATGCAGAGAGTCGAAACTTGACACTCCAAATTAATCCATAATTATTATTATTTTTTTTTATTACATTTTTTCCCTACTTATTCTTTTACCTTTTCTTCACTTCAAAATAATTTTGTTTAAAATTTGTCATTCAATACTAAGGGCATTTTTGGTTTAGTTTAATGAAAAAAAAAAACTAATTTTGTTCTCAAAAAACTAAAAAAATATTTTTAAAGAATTATAAAAAGACCGGAAACAACTCTTTTTTTAACTAAGCTTTTAAACAAATAGATTTTAAAAAACTATCAACCAAGTAAATTTTTATACAATGTTTGATTTTGTTCTTAAAAAAACAGAAAACTTAACCGCACAAATGTTCCCTTTTAACATAAAATAAAAAAGGGGATGTGAGCTCCAAGGACCTTTGAGCCTTCTATCATGCAAATCCAAATTCAATTATCGATTTGTCAGACCAAAAGGTGTAATGTTATCAAACTTGAGTTTATTGATTTCGGTTTTGCTTGAATTCAGTGAAGCACCAACATTAGCAACCATGCATCTTGCAAATTTTGAACTCGAGGAGCAATTAAAGAGCTTGTTAAGGGTACACTCTTTAGCAACACTGAACATTAAACCCATAAAGAAGGTTCTTCAGGCCAGTATTCACCACCAACAGACTCGGCTCCAGCCAGCTGCCATGGCAACGCGGCGCTACAGAACTCCTCAAATTGATAATTAACGTCGAAGAAGAGATCAGGCAAGTCGAAAAATGAATCATCAATGACACTTAGAGGAGAAGTTGATGATTCATTTCTGTCATTTGAAGTTTCAGTAGACTCTGGGGAGATGGGAGCTAGCGGCTCAGGTTCACCTTCATGGCTTCTTGGCGGAGCCAGGGCGGCTGCTTTGGCTACCGCGGCTTGAATGTCTTTCGGAAACTTGGATGCTGGACGGGGTAGTTCATGAGCCAGCTCCGGGAAGTTGAGATAAGCCAAGTGTCCTTTGATTGCCATGGCAGCCGCATCGTGGGCTCGAGCTGCCATTTCAGGCGTGTCGAAAGTCCCAAGCCATATTCTCGACTTCTTCCTCGGCTCCCGGATTTCGGACACCCATTTGCCCCAACTCCGCATTCGTTCACCTTGATAAACCGGGTGCTTCTCACCACCACCACCATTCTTAGCCTTCTTGTTATTGTCCTTGTCATTTTTCTCTTCTAAGACCCTCTTGGAGCCCTTTTTTGTAACAGTTTTGGTCGGACCCTTTGTCAAAGATGAGCGTGAGGGGGAGGCAGAGGAGATGCTGGTGGCCGTGGTAGCGGAGGTGGTGGTGGTAGAAGTGGAAGAAGTGGTACACTCTTTAATGAAAGGTTCTTGCATAGTAAAAGAGGACTTCTTTATTTTGGGTAGTAAAAATGTGTGGGCTAGAGACTAGCCTAGGTATGTGAGCTTCGTATAGTTCTTCAACAAAATGGAATAAAGTTGATATATTAAAATGGGGTCTAAGCATAAAAGGGGTACACATTGGCTATATTGTTGTTATGCTTTGGCCATTTATTGGACCTTCACTTGATTGTTGGGGGTGATCTTCATCTCTTATTAAATAGTGTGATATGATATACTATTTTTATTTACCATGTGGGTAGCTACTTTTTGTCAAGTTGATATATTTAATTTTTTTTATTAGGGTTATAAATATAAAGACTGGTGGACCAACTCTTTTGGTAAGTATATATATTCTGACTTTTATTTTACCAAAAAAATATATGTATATTGTGCTAATGAAAACCAAAAAAAAAAATTTCACATCAGATTATGAGAGCTCCCTTTGGCTACTCTATAGGTCCAATATTGTATGTCACTTTCTGCTGTGGGATCATCCGACCAAATCGAAAATGGGTACCGTCCATTGTCTCCATCATTGGCCTAGCTTTCATCCTTCAGCACGACATGTAACTCTAATGGCTCTAAATTTATGTAGTATGGATGCGGATACGACACGATACAAGTTCTTTTTTTATTTTTATTTTTTATATTTATACGAAAATTAAGTTACAGTCTAGTAAATATTGAAAGTAGATAATTTAAGTCTTAATTCGAACCACAAAACTGAACAAACGTCACAATACACACACACACGTATAGATGTATCCTTCTCATGACCGCAATGAGCATGACATAGTTCTAAAATATTAGCGTGTGCTGCGTGTAGGCTTCCTTTGCAAGCTTAATCATAAGACATGGGGGACCATTAGTTCATCATGGACCTACTTATGCAGAGGTTTGAAATGAGATCCTGATACTATTGTCCCATTCAACTTGTGGGGCTATTTTTTCAAAATTATTTTTTAAGTATCTGTTTGGTAATTGGTTAGATGGAATCAATGGTAAAAAGTGAAAGTAAGAGACAAATTTAAAGAAAGAAAAATCAATTTTCTAATATGTATTTAGTTAGTATGATTTTTTTTTTTTACAATGCTGTAAGAAAGAATCATTTTTAGTCTTTTTTTTTTAAAAAAATAAAATAAAAGCAATATAAAAAATTATTTTAAGTTTGTAGGACATTAGAGAGAGAGAGAGAGAGAGTCAGTTATACAATTATACCATTTTTATCAAAAGTCCTGTATAAACGCATTTTATTTTAAAGATATATATATATATATATATAAAAGGTACATAATTGAATGTGTGCATAACTTTCTCAAGAAAGTAATTTTTCCCGTGTTTTTTTTTTCTATGAAAAATTTATGAGAAAGTTATGTGGTTATGAAAATTTTCCGTGGTTATGAAAAATTTCACCTATCAAAGCTCTTAATAAATTAAAAAGGAAAATTCATTTCTTTTTATATTTTGCTATTTCTATTTAAACACAGCTCTGATTCCGATTGGTGATATGCAAAACCGGTGAGGTAAAATTCAAAATCTTAAAAAGAGTCCTCACTTCCATTATTTAAATGAATGTGGATGTTTGTTTCTCCTTGAAACAGTGGTGCTATATTCTAATAATAAAATCAGTGTTGCATTCATTGAATGTTACATTTTCAAAATAATGTGTTGCACGTCTCGCTTTTTAAAAAACATCATTATTTATTAATACATAGAATAAGAGGATTATTTCGGTCCCTTTTGAATACCAGTTATTTACACATTGGGCAAGTCTTGTTTGTCCCGGTTTTTCTTTTTTTCCCTCATTTTTTGGGTAAATTTGTTTGTCCAATTTGTATAGAATTAACAGTCCTTCAATAAGACTATTATTTTTCTTGAGGAAATCGTGTTTCATGGTGCATTTTGGCAATTGTTTCTAGAAGAGTATCTTTCTAAGCACAGCCCCTCTTTAGTAACTTCAATATTTTAAAGGGAAAATCACACTTAGAATTAGGAGACTTAAATAACAAAATGGTCTATTTTAAAACTTTATTTTTCATTTTTATTGAATTAAGTAAAATAATTACATATGCAGTAATAACTATTGTTTAAATCCAAAATACCTTCCAAACACTTATTTCAAAATACTAAAAATTATTCCACCTAAAATCAAGTACTTTCTTTAAATAATTTATTTCATTTAACTTTGAACCATATTGCTACAAGTTTCATATATACACCACATGATAACTTATTCAATATAGTAAAAAATGGGCCAATCAAAGGTTAGTCCCAAAAATTAAAAAAATATAATTAAACTCAAGAATATATAAATTGTCTTTGTTGTGGTGCATGCTTTGAGATGATCATCAATTTTTTGGCTCAATTAATTACATTTGTTTTATAAAAATAAAAAAATTGATTACTAGTGCACTATTTACTGAAGCAACCGTTTAGTTTTTTCATGATCTCCCTCTCTCGTGCGTGTGTACGGTATGTGTGTGTGTATATATATATTTGCAGGTTTATATTGGTATGAATTAGGAGATATGATTAAAGTTATGTGAAAATAAATAAATAAATATATATATATATATATATATATATATATATATTTATTTATTTTCATGAATTTCCACTTAGTGAAAAAAAAAAATCTGTATATAATGAATTTTCACTAAATTATTTGTATATTTTTAAATTGATATTTGCAGGTTTGAATCATATATATGCATGGATTAGGAGATATCGTTAAAGTTTTTTGCACAATATATATATATATATATATATGTTGTTTTTTATTTATTTATTTTTTATTTTGGTAATATATACGCCATATGCAAAAGTGCTAAGTTGAAAGTCAACTCAGAAATCTTATTTTTCTAAATTTTATGAATGAAAGAATTATTTGATTTAGGAAAGATATTTTAGTATTTCGAAATAAGAATTTAGAGGGTATTTTGGACCTAAATAATAGTTTTTAATGCATATGTAATTATTTTATCTACCTCAACCAAATTAAAAAAATTAACTTTAAAAATAGATTGATTCGTTATTTAAGGCTCCTAAATCTATTTAAGTGTAATTTTTCCTATTTAAAATATTTTTTGATTGCTTCCATTAGTAATGAAAATGATTCCAAAAACACAAGAATTTATAGCACTTTTATTATTTTCATTCTAGAAAATTAGGAAAGACCAAAAAATGACACATATCCTAAGATTCTAAAAATGTCTATGTCTCAATCTAGTAGGGATGGCAACGGGCGGGTTTGGGCGGGTGTACACGCCCCCGCCCCCGTAACCGTTTAAAAACTCCGCCCCTGTCCCCTTCCAAAACCGCAAAAATTGGAGGACTTTTCACCCCATCCCCGTCGCCGTTTAACATTTTTACCCCGCGGGTACCCGCCCCGCCCTTTTAAGACCAAAATTTCTTCTTCATTTAATTTTTTTTTATCAACTAAAATTTATATATTTATTGAAAAGATTCATTAAAAAATGGGTAATAAATAGTTACTTCAATATTAAAAACATTCTATAATAGCAATTTCATAAAAAATAACATACCAAAACCAGACAAGCAAAATTACATTGTTCCAAATTGGCTTCCAAAAGAGTTTTAATAATAATTAGAAAAAAAAGGATAGTTCATTACATAGTGGCAAAAAGTTATCAGAAAATTCAGATTTCAAAACAATCTTCTCATAAATTTCTTCATGAGTTTCCATAGTTGCACAATTTCTTCAACATGGGGAGGCGCCGCTGAGAGTAATGATGTGAATGAGAGAGTTAAGAAAACCTAGGGTTTCTAATAAGAAATAATAAATATATATAATAATCAAATAAGGGTAGTTAAGTAATTTCTATATCTAAACGGGGCGGGGCAGGGCAGGGCGACCTCCCCCCGCCCCCGCACCAAACCCGCGCGGGTTTTTGATATATCAAACCATCCCCGCCCAAGTTAGCTAAACGGTCCTCCAAAATCGCCAAAAACGGGGCGGGGTGGAGCTAGTAATCGCGAGGGCGGGTCAAATTACCATCCCTACAATCTAGGAACATTGTTATAAAGAAGGGACAAGTGTAAAAAACATCCTTAAAGTATACTCCGCATAACACTTTTATCCCTATTTGAAAAAGTGTGCAAAAAATATACCTAATCTTTTCACATTATGCAAAAATACTCCATCTAACATAAATTATTATTGCAATACCCATTTTGCCCTTTTACTTTTCGGAAAATGCCGAATGGGGTATATATATGCTATTAATATCTTAATATAGGAGTGTTATGTACACATTACCTTATATATATATTTTTTTTTGAAATTTTTTTCTCTCTATATATTTCTAAACATTTTTTATTTTTAACTTTAAGAATTTGTAAAATAGGGATTTGAATTTTTTGAGATTTCAGTTTATTCTTTTCTACTATATTTTTTTTTCTTTATTTTTTTTTTTCATTCCAAAATTGTTAAACAAAAAAAAAGGGGTTAATTACAACGACACTCCCTAAGGCTCAGTCATATAGAAGTAAGCCTTTTTTGAATAATGACACCCCGTCAGAAATTTCAACCAAATAGTCCCAAAAAAAAAAAATGGTAAAAGACAAGCTTGCCCTTCAACATTTAATTAATTTTTTAGTGTAAAATATCTAAGGACATAAATGACAGAATTGCCCTTGATGTATACTAACCACCATTACTCTTTAAGCTCTCATCTTAGATATTGGTGGCGGCGACGAAGTGGAAGGTGGTGAGCCCAGTCGGAGGGATTGTTAGGTGATGAAGATGGAACTGGGTATGAAGAATATGTTCAAAAGTATGGTTAGGACGCTTTTACCAAGGTTTACCGCGCTTGGGACACCACCACTTACCACAACGTCGCCGTTAAGATCATCAACAACAATAAGATCAACAGAACTAACTTGATGTCCTTCAGCCCTAAACCCAGATATTGGAGCTTCAAGATCAATTGAAAAGGGGAGAGATTGTTGATTTTAACGGCGTTGTCGAGCGT